TGTTTGGGCTGGCCTGTGTCTTCACTGGGACCTTGTCTCTCCAGCTTCTCTCAATAGGCCATCCTAGCCTCTAACTAACTTGGGCCTCAGTCTATGTAGCCTCTCACTCTAGGCTGGCCTTTCCACGGTCACAGGCTTTCAGCCTCCTCCTAAGGGTTCTGGACCCCCCTGGATCCCTAAGAACCTCCTTCATCCCCGTAGTTCCTACCCTAACTTTCAGATGTTCCAGGAGCAGCAGTACTCAGTCCAGATTTCATAGATTTCTAGGGTTGGAAGGGATCTGTTAGATCATCCAGTCCACCCCGCTGCAGGAAAGAGCACTGGAGTCAAGTAAACCCAGCCAGGTACTTGTCTAATCTCCTTTTGAACACCTCCAAGGTAGGGGAAAGCACCACCTCCCTTGGAAGCCCATTCTATATTTTGGCAACTCTCACTGTAAGGAATTTCTTCCTGATGTCCAATCTAAATCTACTCTCCTTGAGTTTATGGCCATTGTTTCTAGTAACCCTGAGGGGGGCCCTGGTAAAAAGAGTATCCCCTCTTCCCTGCTGACCCCCCCACCCCGATAAGTTTGTAGACAGCCACAAGATCACCTCTCAGCCTTCTTTTGCAGAGGCTGAAGAGATTCAGATCCCTCAGCCTGTCTTCATAGGATCTTACCTGCAGGCCCTCAACCATACGAGTAACCCTTCTCTGAATCCTTTCTAGGTTATCCACTTCCCTCTTGAAGTGCGGCACCCAAAACTGGACACAGTACTCCAGCTGTGGCCTCACAAATGCCACATAAAGGGGAAGTATCACCGCCCTAGACCTGCTCGTGATGCACCTACTAATGCAGAAAAGAGTGCGGTTAGCTTTACTTATTACCTCATCACATTGGTGACTCGTTCATTTTTCTTCAACTAGGACTCTGAGATCCCTTTCCACTGCTGTGCTACTTAGAATGGTACTTCCCAGTCTATAGGTGTATTGGTGATTCTTTCTCCCCAGGTGCAGCACTTGGCACTTATCTTTGTTAAACTTAATCCTGTTCTGATCCACCCACTTCTCCAGTCTATCTAAATCCACCTGAGTTCATTCCCTACCCTCTAGTGTGTTTACTATACCCCCATAGTTTGGTGTTGTCTGCGAATTTGGACAGAGTGCTTCTACACCCTCATCCAAATGACTGATGCAGATATTGAACAGTACTGGTCCAAGGACAGAGCCTTGGAGGACACCACTGCTCACATCTCTCTAGGTAGAAACCGACCCATTCACCATCACCCTCTGGGTGCATCCCATAAGCCAGGCTTCCTCCCACTTGCCTGTGGAAACAATCCATGTCACAGATACTTATTTTACTTGTAAGAACTGGGTGTGACACTGTGTCAAACCTTTTTAAAATCCAAGTAAATAACATCTACCTCTACTTCTGCATCTAAGCACTTTGTGACCTGGTCATAAAAAGAGACCAGGTTAGTCAGGCAGGATCTGCCTGCTATAAACCCAGGCTGGTTGCCCCTTAACCTTGTATTACCTGCTGGTCCCCCCACAAATGTGATGCTTTATGATTTTTTTTCTAAGGTCTTGCCAAGGGTAGAGGTAAGGCTAATTGGCCTATAATTACCCGAGTCCTCCTTCCTCCCCTTCTTGAAAACAGGGACCACATTGGCCCTTTTCCAGTCTTCTGGGACCTGTCTTGAGTGCCACAAGCACTCAAACAGTTGCACCAGTGGCTTTGCTATGACACTGGACAATTCCTTTAGTACCCTTGGATGAAGATCATCGGGTCCTGCCGACTTAAATACGTCCAACCCCTCCAAGTGCCCCTTCACTAGGTCAGCGCTAACCGCTGGTGGATTGGTATCTCTGTCTCACTAGACTAAAGTCTTATTGAGAGGTGTGTTTGTAACTGTGTCCAGGAACACAGATGCAAAGAAGTCATTTAAGAGCTCAGCTTTGTCCATCCTATCTGTTACAAGTTGCCCGAGTCCATTATATAGTGGTCCTATGTTACCCTGCACCTTCTTGCTCCCTATGTACTTAAAGAAGAACTTTTTGTTACCCTTAATCTTTGTTGCCAGCCTGAGTTCTGTTTCTTCTTCGGCCTCCCTCACTGCTTCCCTGCAAGTGCAAGCCAAGCAGGTATACTCCTCCTTGGTGGCTGCCCCCCTGCTTCCACAGCCTGTAAGCCTCTCTTTTCTCCTGTAGGCTCTCCTGGATTTCCCTGCTCAGCCTAAAGGGTTTCTTGGCTCTTACCTCCCTTTGTGTACTGGGATGGTACCCCCCTGTGCCTGCAGGATCAGTTCCTTCAGGAACTCCCACCCTTCCTGGACTCCCAACTCCACAGATGTTATTACCCCTCAGTCCCACTCCAACTAATCTCCTGAGCTCGTTGAAGTTGGCCTTCTGGAAGTCTAGCACTTCCACCCTACTAGTTATCTTTCCCAACTTTCCCTAGATAATGAATCCTATCAACAGGTGGTCACTATCTCCTAGGTTACCTTGTACCTGCAGATTCCCCACCAAGTCCTCCCCTGTGGTCAGCACCAAGTTGAGTAAGGCATTTCCCCTAGTGGGACTGCATACCTCCCATGTTAGGTGCAGGTCCTCTATGCAAGTTAGGAACCTAAGTGAACAGGCATGCCTGGCTGACTGCGTCTCCCAGCAGATGTCTGGGTAATTAAGGTCACCCATGACAACCAGGTCCTTTGAGTGAACTGCATTTGAGAGCTGCCTCGATTTCTAGATCTAGGTCAACTTCTCCTGGTGTGGAGGTCAATAGTAGACCCCCACTACCAAGTCCCTTTCAGATGATGTTCATCCTTCAGCTCCTCAGTTGCAACTGGCTGGCTCTGCTCTCAGGGCCTGGTGTTATACACAGGCTGCCCAGCCCTCCACCAATCGGGCGGTCTCCTGGGTGCCATGTGACTGCCTGATTGGTTCTGCTCCCACCTACAGGCTGGTCTGTAGCCTGCTCTAACCCGTAAAGTGGCAGGCACCCAAAGGTGCTTTGCCACATACTGTAATATCAATATCTATTATATTGTATTAGTGAGAGTTCAAAATACTTTTGAAAGCACAGATAAAGGTTCATATGTTTGATGTTACTTTACTTTTCCTCATTTATATCACATTCTCTATTTTTTGGATTCTTTTTTCCCACATTCCTTTAATTTATTCCTGATAACTCCATGTTTATGTGAGTTCTATGGTAATTAGAAAGCAATGCAGAAATACATCTGTGCAAAAGGCTCTGACTTGCTTACATGTCCTGGATCAATTTGAGTTTTCCAGAGGCTTTTGGGCCTCAACAAGTTTGGTGGATTTGGGAGCTTTGTTGTAGGAGAAAGGCATAGAGAAACTCATTTCTAGGCTGAGTAGGTGTGATGGTGTCCTTCCTAGTACTCTGTCAGAAATGGAGAGCTGACTCAGGTGAAAGGAAGAAAGTGTTCTTTGGAAGCATCATTCTGTGATAGATTTAGCTTAAGATAAGTATCTATCATGACCTCTCTAGTATGATTCTCTTTGATAGATTTTTTTGTACTTAAATTGTAATTCTGAGCATGAAAGAACTGGTGAACACTATTTCTGAAACACAATATCACTATTGGATTCTGTTCTAACTGATTTTCATCTGTATAGATGTTCAGAGAGGTAAGGACGGAGATTAAATTGCATTTAAAAATGGCCACCCAATCTAACTTAGTTTGCCCAGGTTTGGACCTTACACTTACCAGCTTAGTTAGGTCCATCTAAGTGCAAACTGTACAGAAGCATAGGAAGGTTAGATCACTCTGAAAAATGGCTGACCCAATCAGAAAATATTGGGTCTGGCAACACTTATCTAACTGAACTCATGTAACTTTACAGTTCCAGCACAACTGCAGAGCTGGGAAACCTCAGCTGCTGGTCCCTGCTCTGGGGATGTGCTTTTCTTGCCCTCTTCTCCTTCTCCCATCCTCCCAGCTAGAGGCTATTGTTAGCCCTCCCCAGCCCCTTGTCCCACCTGCAAATAAGAAACTCCTGTCCCTACCCTTTGCTCTCTCCTGTGGACCAGCCAAGGCTACTTAAGCCTGCCAAATCCTCCATCCCACAAGCTGTGCTTGGTGCCAGTTTGACCAGCATTTGCTGGTGCTAGGAGCCAAGGAAGTAAGTCAGGATGGGGAGGGGTGGGTGCAGTGGTGAGGTTTGGTTCACTTTGGGGTGCGGTTATTGTAGGAGTGGTGGAGATGTTTACAGGTTTATTGTAGGAGTGGTGGAGATCTCCCTCCTACCTCCTTCTCTGCCCTTTGTCTTCCTAATTTCCAGCTGTTTCCTTTTTCACAGACGGCCTCTTCTCTACCTTGAAAATCTACTACTTTAGAGTCTCCCTTATTCACTTTTGGCTTTTCTTTCCCTCATTTCCCCCCCACTCCCTTGCCTGTTCCACCTTTTGTTTTCCTAATTTCCACCCATTTACATTCTCACTGGCATCCTGTCATACTTTTAGCTTCTTGTGGTTTCCTATGCCTGAAGAAGGGTGATTGCACCCAAAGCTTGCAAAGAACTTCTTCCAACTACTCAGTTGGTCTAATAAAAGAGAACATCTACCCAAAGAACCTTGCTTGTATGTATCCTAAGGCTGTTTGAGAGTTGATCTTCAGTGGAGAAGATTAATCCCAAGCTTGATTTTTGATTTGGTTGTTTTCTGATTTCTGGGTAAGGGAGCTTCTGGCTTTACCTTTCATCTCATTATAATTTTAATTTTGGGGTCAGGTATCTAGCACTCTTGACAGAAATCTAATTTAAAATATTAATTTGAAAAATGCTGGAAGTATTACTGGCTGACAAACCATATTAGTCCCTGATATGGTGCAGTGCAAATGAAATTATATTACATTAATATAGCATCTTCTACCTGAAAGATCCCAAAGTAGTAGTGTACCAAAGTCCCAAAGGGAATTTATACAGTTAGTGAGTTAGAATTTATATTCTTTGCTACCATTCTCTGAACATGAACTCTTTTTTTTCAATAGGCCTTGATGACTGCCTCCAACAATACATTAAAAATTTTGAAAGGGAAAAGATCAATGGGGAGCAGCTGTTACACATCACTCATCAAGAGCTTGAGGAACTGGGAGTCACTCGTATCGGTCACCAAGAACTAATCTTGGAAGCAGTTGACCTGCTCTGTGCATTGGTAAGTAAACTGGTTTCATTTACCACTCATTCTAACAATGCAGACTTTTGTATATCTTAACCAAAATTAAGATACTGAAGATGGCACAGTATACAACACTTTCAGGTCTCACCTCACTTAAATACTGTCTCTCATTACTTTTGAAATATTTGAAGGGACTTCAGTTAAACACAAAGGAATTAACTGTTTTCCTTCTAGAAACTTTGCATTATTATTATTATTATTATTATTATTATTATTATTATTATTATTTTTACAGTCTTGTTTCCATAGAGGGTTTTCAGTCTTTTCTTGAAGTCTCTTCAGTGCTATATTCACTTGTAGTTCATGATCAGTGCTGGCATCAATATGGCATTATGATTAGGTGTCGTATACCCTCATAGTCCATGGAAGTTTTCTGTAGTGGAGTAAGCCATGTAGTCCTGTGTGCAAACATGCTACCACTCAAAGATTTCATGCACTTATGTGAGATGGCATTAATAATTGCACTGGAAGGCGTTTAAAACACTTTGCAAAGATCACAACAGACTTTTTTGACAATATTAAATATTAGGGCTGTGCAAAGCTTCGGATCATGATTCAGATTCAGAGATGATTCAGATGATTTGGAGGCCAAATCTATGAATCTGAATCAAATTGTGGGAAGTCTTAGATTTTCTGAATCGATTTGGAGCTTCCAAATCAATTCAGAAAAGTTTTGGCGATTTTGTCCATAGGGTATAATGGGGAATCAATGAAATATCTATAACTTTGTTGTCTTTTGGCTGATTCAGATGAAACTTGCAGGGATGGTAGCCTCTGCTGAGAGCATGATGCATGCAAATGTTCAAGATAATAAGTGCAGGGGTTTCTGGGAAACTGCACTCCAAAGTTCTAAAAGCAAAACTCGCGTCACGTGGGTGCTTGTGTGACTGTATGTGTCTGTCTTGGGGCATGGGGTGGGGGTAGGGGAACTACTGCAGGCCTGGCTGCTAAGCTACTGTGTATCAATCTGCTGTATCAATACTGCTCAATCATGATTCACTCAGGGACCAGCTCAATACACAATAGCTAGCTAGTAGCTACTAGGTAACAAGTTAATGAGCAAGGATTAACACCTACAAAACCACAGGCTAAGGAGAGGAAATAATAGAGTCAAACTGCTTCTGCTCCAAGACAGACAGTCAGTTGCACAAGCACCCATGTCATGAGTTTTTTTCCTGTCAGCAGCTAGAGGTGCAGGGCCCCAGAATCCAGAACCCCTGCACTTATCTCCTTGACAGCTGGCAGGCTTTGTGCCCTCAGCAGGGGCTAGCAGGCCTTCAGTTCATCCTGCTGCGCCTTAACACAGTGTCACCCATGTCACGAGTTTTGCTTGTCTGCAGCTTGAGGTGAAGTTTTCCCCCAAACCCCTGCACCTATCTCCCTGAAACTTGGCAGACTTTGTGGTGTCTGCAGGGGCTACCATCCCTTCAGTTTTGACCCCACTGTAGCTTAACACATGACGTGATTTTTGCCTTCAAGAATTTGGGGTGCAGTTCCCCCAAACCCCTGTATGTATCTCCTTGAAACTTAGCATGGAGCATGCTCCCAGCAGAAGTTACCACTCCTGCAAGTTTCATCCAAATCAGACAAAAAACAACAAAGTTATAGATATTTCATTGATTCCCCATTGTACCCTATGGCTGAATCTCCGAATTGGCTCCAAAGCTTTGGACCTGATTTGGCCGAATTGAAGTGGGAAACTGATTCAGAGCTCTGAATTGAATTGCTGGCATATGAATCAGTTGAATACGAACCCAAATCGAATAGTTCCCTATTCGCACAGGCCTATTAAATATGGATACCTGTAATCAGCTAACTGGTTTTGTAGTAAGATATAGTAGAAAAAAAATTCTTTCTACACTTTATGTAAAGCTACTGAGATTTATATATATCCTTTAAAAAGTGTATTCAATCTTGTTGTAGTATTCTGGGGATTGCCTCCAGAGAACTAGAACATGGTCCTGGATGCTGTGCTCTGCACCATCTCTTCAGGCTCTTGCCCCTCCACTCTGTCTCAGGACTCTGACAGCCTGAGCCTGTCAGCCCAACAATTCAGCAATAACCTAGGCTTCTCTGTGGAGCATCTCCAGTGGCCTCCTTTCTTCCCCTTCAGCCATTCCAGTGTCACACGACTCGCTGAATACAAGGAGCAATACTCTACCACAGCCACAATGTGACTAAGGAGCCTTTCTAAAAACCTACTCAGTTCTCAAAACCACTGTTCTGTTTCATTTCAGTGAAATAGTTTCGCTGTTTTGGTGCTGTTGCAACGTTTCGCCCATATGCTATAATGGGGAAGCTCAAAACAGCCTATATCTTTATCATTTCTGGCCTGCTTTGGATGAAACTTGCAGAAATGGTAGCTCCTTCTGAGGGTAGCCTACCAAGTTTCAGGGAGATGGGTGCAGGGGTTTCGGGGAAACTGCACCTCAAAATTTTGAAAGCAAAACTCATGTTACGTGTATATGTTAAGCCACAGTGAGGTCAAAACTGCAGGCATGCTAGGCCCTACAGCAGCCACAAAGCCTGACAGCTGTCAAGGAGACAGGTACAGGGGGAGTCTGGGTTCTGGGGCCCTGCACCTCTGGCTGTTGACAGACAACTCATGACATGGGTGCTTGTAGGACTGTATCTGTCTTGGGGCATTGGGGGGGGGGGGGGAAAAAGGCAAACCTTGTAGGCCCTGCTGTGGCCATGAAGCCTGCCAGGTATCAAGGAGATAGGTGCAGGGGGAGTCTGAGTTCTGGGGCCCTGCACCTCTAGCTGCTGACAGGCAAAACTGGAACACAGTTCAGTAACTGACACCAAGGCAGAAAGCAGGGCAGTTCAAACAATGATGCCTTTTATGAAGTTTTTCCATCCCTCCTCTAAAGCACAGGGATTAGAAGGGACCTCAGGGAAGGATGACAGTCACTGGCCAGCTACACAGTCAATGAGAGCACTTCTCCCCCCATCTTCCCCTTCCCTCTCCTTACTTTAGTTTGTTTCCCTGCAGGCAAGACCAGCTTGAGCTTTGAAACATTTAAAACATTTCAAAAGGTTTCAACTTGCCTTGTTTTGTTTCGAGGCTGTTTCAAAGCTCTGTTTCATTTCGATTTCACTGTTTCGAGCTCAAAACGAGTCAAAACAGTGTCAAAATGAAACTGCCAGTGAAATTTCACACAGCCCTAATTTGGAGCCTATGGCAATAGTCCAGATTGCAAGCAGCAGCAGCAAATGGTTGCTTACCCCATGTCTACATGAGTAGAATCTGTAATTTAAGACTTTGAAATTATGTATAAGTTAATCAGTTGATTATATTAAATAGTTTCAAAGAATTCAGTGGGTGAAGGATGAAAACTGTACCATAATGCTTCTGTATTGTTAGTGAAGGGCTGCTTGTACTGACAATTGGGAAAAAATATTGTTCATTAACCACTCTTATTGGAAGCTGTTTTGCTTGCTAAATTAATGTTGGTCAGTGAATGAGGTGTAAACCATTGGACTCCTGCTCAACTGATTTTGATCTTTTAAACCTCTAATATCTTTAGGAATCTACACTGTTAGCTGCTCATGGACCTTGTCCAAACTATTAAGAGCTTCAGGTGACCCATGCCTATAACAAATGTTTAAAATCATGGGTGTCAAAGGCATATGTAGGCTGACAAAGTCATTGCCCTCTGGATCTGACCCACAAGGAACCCTGCAGAACCCTGACTGCAGGGTTCCTTGTGGATCATATCCACAGACAAACTGGCAGCAGAAGGGGCAAGTGACCATTGCACAAGTGGCTGCTTGCCATGGAAAAGGCGACTAGCAATGGTGGGCCCAGGAGCTGCAAAGGATGTTGCACTAGATGAAGCAATGGCAGCCCCAGGTGGCTGCAGAGCAAGGAGGGCTGTTAGCAAAGTCCTTGTTCACCTCACTGACACCAAAGACCGTGTCCAACTGAGCCATAAATTCTTTGGCAGTTTTCATCACCCGTTAGCTGTGTCCCCAAATTCCATGGTCCACCAGTAGCCCAGTGGGCCAGATGGATAACCCTGTGTGCCACAAGGTTGACACTCTCTTGGTTTATCTGCTTTTGCTGTCTCCATTTGACAAATTGCTCTGCTGTTAAAATGAGTCACTTTAATGTGTTTATATATAGGGCTTAGATCTTGTGTTTATAATGAGTATTTTTAAGTTTTGAGTTCAAATTAAGCATCAGAAAAAAAAGACCTATGACAAGTGTATCTGAAAAGTAGTATTCTTTGCTGATCTCTACGTAGTGGCTATATATGGGACTTCAAAACTTTTATATTGGGTGCAAGATGCTATGATAAATACTTACATATTAAAAATATGAGGCATGGCAGCATTACAAATGATTAATCATGTCACATTCATATTTTTAGCTCTCAGTGGGTATTCCCTAAGGCCAAGAAATCTTCCCAATCTAACTTAATTTCTCTGTAGTTTAGGAATCAAATATAGTTATATGATAGCTGACAATGTCATTATAAAGCAAATAGTTCATGCAGTGATGATAGTTTGAGAGAAATCTCATCACTGCCGACTGCAAACTACATTTTGACAAGTGGTCTTAATCGGCTGCTGGACAAGCTCAGAAAAGCAATGTTATCAGAATCACAGAGTACTCTCTAATCACAGTGCCAAACTATTGACATGGCTTTATTCTTAAGCAGCATAATTTAGGGGTGAAATAAAAATGCTTGGAACTTAATTTATCAAATCTTTTTAATACGCGCTCTTATCTTTCTTTTGGTGGACTTTTAAAAACATATGGGAAAGTGCTGTATAACAAACTGGATAAAATGTAGAACAATCACCAACTCTCTAAAAGTAGAAAATATGCTTACAGTCAGTTAATTTGTTAAAAATAGCCTAAATCAATTTCTGAAACTAATTTTTTGCAAGTTGACTCAATTACTATTTAAACAACAGGAGGGGCACAGGAAAAAGTTTACCATCTCAGCCTCTTGAAGGCTTCATTG